TTAAAAGGCTTTAAGAGCAGAACTCAGGTTTCTCTGAGGAAGAAATTTCACTGTGAACTGCTGCTTCAACTCCTGCTCAACAGTTCCAGCCTGTTCTTCCTGATAACCTAGTCCAGTCCCCATAACTGTTTAAGTCAACTCCCTACAATAAATACCTTAATATATTTATGTGTGTATTTATACACCAATCGATGATATATTACATTATTCTGATATGTATATATATACACATAGAGAGACCCACAATTCCTAATTAAAATCTTTCCATAAAAAAACCCCAGGACCAAATGGCGTGACTAGCAAATTCTTCCACACCTTTAAGAAATTTTATATCAATCTTACACAAACTCTTTCAGAGAACAGAAAAAGAGAGAGTATTTCCCATTTGTTCTCTGAGGCAAATATAACACGAACCTAAAATCTGATAAGAGTATTACCAAAGAGGAATATAGGCCACTTTTTCTTATGAACATAACCATAAAAATCCAAAACAAATTATTAAAAATCAAATCCAGATACATAAAAAAGGATAATACATCATGACAGTTTGGCTTAACATGCTAAGCTCAATATAATTCACCACATTAAAGACTAAAAAGATATGTTTTAGAGTAACTAAAATAGCATGAAATTGTATTGGTATATTAGGTTTTAAAAAGGTAGACTGAAATAATATATTCATAGAAAAGACTGAAAATAATAATTATTCTCTCTTAATTGTAGGCTCATCATATGTGATTTTTAAAAAACTTGTTTACTGAATATTCCAAAGCCTCTAAAGTAAATGTGTTATTACTTTTAAAATAAGAAAAAGGAAAATGTATCTCTAAATACAGGGAATTCTTCAAGAAAATGTTGGAATTTTTTTTTAAAAAAAAGCTTTTAACAGTTTAGGAGAAAAATTTTTAAAAGAAAATGATATATTACTACATGGAAGCTTTTGACATTTTCCAATCTAAAGAATATGCTCACTAGACAAATTAGGAGTTTAAATATATGACATAGTTTCTCAAGCAGATTATTCAATGGGGTGACAGGATAATCTTGATAGCTTTAAATCCAAAGCAATGACTTAATGCAGTGGCATGTGTTTCTTAGGATACTCAAGAGCAAGCATGATTCTAAGTAACAGGCAGAAGGAAGGACAGGTGGGCAGGCAGAGAATCTTGAAAGGATTCTGCTTGAGTCCCAGGGCACAGGGTACTCAACAATAAGGGCAATGGAGCATTCAGATTATCTGGTATGTAATTCCCTAAATTGACTGTTATGAGCTAAACTGTGTTCTCAAATTTTATATGTTGAAGTCCTAAATCCTCAGAAAGTGATTGGAAATAGGGACTTTAAAGTAGTAATCATGGTTAGATGAAGTCATTAGGGTAGCCCTAATCAGTATAGCTGGTGTCCTTTTAAGAAGAGATGAGGACACAGAGTGGCACAGTGTAAAGACACAGGAGAAGGAGAAGGCAGGGAAGAGAGACCTCAGAAAGACACCCCAGTGCTTCCCAAAAATTTAGTACGGCTTCTCCTTGTTTTAGTAAGAAGAGAGATAGTTTACTTTAAATCCATAATTATCATAAAGCCTTAAAATTTCAACAGTGGGAAGAACAATCCAAATCTAAAGAAAGTAGTATCTTGAAATAAATTAAATTATAATATTAAAAAAACAATTTACAGACAGCATTTCCTGAGAACTTAAAATGTCTCAAGCACAGTTCTAAGCACTTTACTTGAATTAAATCAATCATAACTCTGAAGTAGATACTATTACAATCACTATTTCATAGAAACTGATGAATGCTTGATCCAAGCTAGTAAATGAAGGAACTAGGAATTGAACCCAGCAGACTGGTTCCAAGCCCACATTCTTACACTACCAAATGAAGTACAGCTGACCCCTGAATAATGTGGGGTTAGGGGTTTCGACCTCCCAGTGCTGTCCAAAATCCGCATAAGCTCTCTGCACACACAAATTCCCAGCTGTGGAGTTGACCCTTGAGTAACATGGGTTTGAACTACAATGGTCAACTGAATTGAGATCATTTGAAAACAAAACAAAACAAAACAAAACCCTTATAAGTTGAAGTGCATAGTTCAAACCCATGATTAAGGGTCAACTATATAATCAGGGCACTACTGAGCATAAATCTTAATTGCTTTGAAGTCAGCCAATTTTAAATTTGAACACTGGTTCTGCCATTTATTAGGTGTATGACTTTGCACAAGCTTAAACTGTGTCTTAGATTCCTCGGCTATAAAATGGAGATGATGAAATGAGACAATAGACAAAAGCATTTAGTACAATGTTTGGTTCATAAATGTCTATGAATTATTGAGTTCTTACTATGTTATTTCTCATTCTACTTTCAAGAATACACAAGAACAATCCAACGATGTCTATTGGAGGACTCTAAGCAAAAATATCAAAAGTTCTCTTTCATCCACACTTCTTTCCTTCCTACTATTCCAGAACTGCATATACTATTCCAATAATCTCATTTCCTATAACACTAGAATATGTTGAATCATATTAGTAGTTACATCAGTCTTATATTCTGTCTCCTACAGAGATACCTAATAACTTTTATAAGGACAACAGTATAGTTATGTGACAACTTCAAAAGATTTAGACATTGCTCAAATATCTAACAAACACATTCACCAATGTACTTAACCTTTATTGAATTTTTTTTAAAAAAATACCGAGTTCATAACATCTCTTAGGATTACAATATAACTACCTACTTGCTCCTATTTGTCATTTTATTAATTTTAAGCTTCAGAGTTCCTTATTTTGGTATTCCCTCTTCATGATTTATATGGTTAGATCACATTTTCCTTCAATCTCCTTTTTCCAGATAATACTGTTTTGTAATTATGTGAAAGTCTCCATTTTCTTCACCTTCTTATAATTGAATTTCTCTAGATCTTTTCCATTTTTGAAGCATTTTTCTTGAGATGATTTAGTAGGAAAAATACTGGGCTAGGAGCCGGGAGTCTTCACTCTGTAATCTCATCTCTCAGATTCTTTATCTGAAAGATGAGAGGATTGTACTACATAAATTTGTAATAGCTTTCCTTATATCTCTAAGCCTCATATTTCTATGACTCTGGGTCTTCCAACTAGAAATCATTCAATATTCCAACAATTTCCCTAAGATTTTTACTTTTGACTACCAGGTAGTCAAAGAGGGGCAAGCATGTTCAGATTCAGGGGACAGAGGAAGACAATAATCAGGAAGCCTAGGTCTACAGAAAGAAAGACATGCTGTTTTGTGAACCAATAGAAAAATTGATTAGCAAGAGAAATCAGACAACAAAGATTCTAGAGACAGAAAAAAAAACTCTGAAACACATAGCCTAATTTTAACTTCATCCCTACACATCTACTTGAAGAGGGACTAAGAAATAGAAAAAGCTTTTGGCAGCAGAAGAGGCTATCCAGCCCTCATTTCTACCTCCAGCTAGCAATGTTAACTGCCATCTCTGCAATGCTGTTGCTAAAATGGCCTCCTACAGCGCTTTGCACAAAATAGGCATTACTGGGGTATTTCAGGACTGAATTCATGATCAGCTGATTTGAAAGCCCTCATAAGTGCTACTGGTACTGCTACATACCAGGAAATCTGAGAACTCAAGGCCATGAGAATTACATGGCAAAGGCTGCCCTGGTTCTAAGGGAGAGTGAATTAGTTGCAAGGGAGGAAATTTGGCCTAATGGCACTGCTGGTCTGATGATACTGCAAGTAGCTCCTAGAATGAAATAGGCACTGGCTATCTCTAAACTACCAAGGCAGTATCAGAGTATGTATGAAAAGTCATTTCCGACAACAAAGGAATAAAAGAACTGAGCAGTTCTAAAAATTCTCAGGTCAGCCCTATGGTGGTGTTTCTCAAAGTGTGGTCCCTGGATCACCAGTGATAGACGAAGGGAGGGGGTGCTTGCTTTAAATACATACCCAGGACCCATCACATATCTAAAATCAAACTTCTGGTAGTGGTACTGGCATTTTTAAGGAGCAAACTTATATTTTGAGAACTACTTCCCCAGAATTTGAAGGTAGGGCTTGGGGGGTAGTCGAGAGTGAAGTTCTTTGACTGTAGATTCATCATATTCCACTGGTATTACTACAACACTTCATTTTGGGGACCATTAAAAAAACCCCTCAATTTCTCAAGTAATAACTGCAGCTAGCTGTTTAAGAACTAACAAGGAGACAATTAAAGGTCCTGGAAAATGCATTTTCACAAACTGATTAAACAGTTCCTCCACAGCCCTGTTTATCCTGTTTGTTCGCTGGTTTGTTTATAAATAAATCGGTTCAACCTAGGAATTTTCAGAAAGAATCACAAACTCTAAAACAACGAAGGTTTTTTGATACTGCAGAGCTAGGCTTGTAAACCTGAAGACTCTGTCTGCCATAAAAAGTAAGATTTTATTTAAAAGAAAATTACCGGTTATGGTTCTCCCCAGCTCTTTTTGCTCTCAGAGCCACTGATGAAAGCTAGTCATTTGTGGATGACAGAGAAGGAAGACTCTGAAGCAGAAGTGAAAAGAGCGAGCAAAATTGCACTCTCTGCTCCGTAGTTTGGGAGGAAGTCCGACTAACTACATAATTTTTAATGAGTTCAATTAATTGCCAGAAAAAAACAGGTCTGCAAATGTTTTATCAATAAACATTCGGAGTTCTCGTCACTTCATTCAGACGGGATAAAAACACGAAAGGCCTGCAGAAAACAGGCAAGTTATACTTTAGCTATCCCCACGATTGTGCTTACGATTTCCACATAGGTGACCCCTCTCCCCGGATCGTCAGACCTTACCCCCTGCACGAGAACAGGCACCCGGAACCCACTTGCCGACATTTTTCATCGCGACGATTTTAGTCCCGCGGCCTTTTCACTGGGGGTCGGACCCAGAGGACGTCCGCCCAAGCAGCGTCCTGAGGAGAATGGCCCCCGACACAAAGGCAAATCTCGGGGCCCAGCCCACCGCCACTTACCTGCCGCCCCCTGCCGCGCCCGCACGCTGGGGGCCTGAATCCGCCCGGGAGGCGCGCGCACACAG